CTCCAGTGCATCACCCGGGCGCGAAAAACATTTGCTTCCAGAATGTGAAAACGCTCAGCCGTTTCGACAAGAACACTTATTCGCTATAAGCGAGATGGAGCGTGCCTTTTTTGCGTTTTCACTAAACATCTACAGCTCTGATTTAGCTTGTATGTAGAGAAAACGGCACTAATGCGCTGGTGTGTGACCGTATACCACATGACATCCAGGGTGGTCGTAATATTTGCTCCTATTTGGGGAGAAAAAATGTGATTACGTTAATGTGGTGTTTGAGGAAAAAAACATATTTAGTTGCAATCTATATTCATCAGTAGCGCGTCCACATTGCCTTTATTTTTATTTGTACATGAGTTTACGCTGTCATGTGTCAGAGCAAAAGCTCATTCTTGGCAGCATGAGGCCCGCATTCAGATATTTATGCGCTATAAAAACTACTGACAGCAGACAATAAACTTGTACTTTCTCGTAGTTCATTTTTACAGAGGTTTAAACACTCCCAAACTCATTATTCTACCTTGAAAATTTTCTTAGCACCTTCAATGATTTACTACGAGGTATTGTTTTTCTACAAACGCCTTTAAGCACTACAAAACTGGGTACTTTATAGCGTCGTATACATTAGTGAGTTTCAGTACTGCGTATTGTCCATAATGGCGTTGCGTTTACGTAACGCATGGTGCGCATGGTCCTCGTTTCACGTAGGGTGCATGCGCAGAAGTACGGCACACGTGCTCTGCGTGAGATGCGGCATTCTACGCACACAAAGTCGTTACAGACGCTACGTACGGAATAACAAAACATGCTATTGTTTCACTCTGTCCCTGAGGTCACTGCAACGTTCACCCATGAGATCAGCCAGAAAAAAAAATGCGCGGAATCTTTTTTTCTTTAATTTAATTTTCGTACGGCTAGTTCTTGTTTTTTTTTCATTAACAAGGCCTTGGCCTCATCGCTACGTTCGCAAAGCTATCTTTGCGTCATTGTACGTAATGTCAGCGGCATTCAGGTTGGCCTCTTCAAGATCGATTTAAGTGACAATTAAATGAACAGACCTCTTATACCAAGAGTCAGAATACTCGAGAAAGACCGACTGCAAACTCAATAATGGTATCTACAATTCGACTCGTACACGTTTTTTTCCAAGTCTCTGTTCAACGATATTTTTCTTTTGTTTCGTGACTGCCGTCGTCGTAATGCCCCAGATAACTAAAAACAGCAGATGATTATTGACACACACACACACACACACACACACACACACACATATATATATATATATATATATATATATATATATATATATATATATATATATATATATATATATATATATATATATATATATGTTTGTCTTCGTGAAGATATGGGTTATTTCCCAACACTTTCGGGGGCGAGGGGTCTTCTTTTCGTCAAGGGATGAGTTAAACTAACGTAGACGTTCGAACTTGCTTGCTGCCGCGTCCCTCTCGCCTTGAAAAAATTATCCGAGAGTATCTTGAAAGGCGAGAGGGGCGCAGCAGCAAACACTTTCAACGTCTGCGTTAATTCAACTCATCCCCTGACGAAGAGAGGACCCCTCCCGAAGCTGTAGGAAAATATATACGTATCATTGTTGACAACGCTTTCGTTGTGCCATTGTGTTATAACACACACACGCACACACGATATATATATATATATATATATATATATATATATATATATATATATATATATATATATATATATATATATATATATATATATACCGGGTGTTCAAAATTAAGCTTTATGATTTTTTTAAAATTAGGCGCTCGAAGGCACGTGAGAACCACTTGTGCAAATAAGTTAAGCGGCCAGGGGGACAGAAAGTTAGATGATAATTATCGCTGTCAGCAGCCCAATTAACTAAAATTTAATAATTAACTTTTTACTGGCTGCGGTAAGTTGGCATGTTTATATTGAAAAAATGTAGGCAGTGGTGTTTGTACACAGTTTCAGTTGGAAGATTTTTTCTAGCACGCCTGTGTTCCGAGATATCCGGCTCCAAAGTTTAATTGTCTTTCGCACGATTACGCATGCAAGAGGGTGAGGGTCCGCGCAAAGCTCCTCCCTAAAGTGACGCATCTGTTGCGTGTGGTGTTTAGTGTGTGAAGAGGGTGGAAGCGTAGGCATAGGTGATAGCAATTACCCTTGCCCTCTTCGGCCGGCGAAATCAAAATGTGACAGCGCGGTGCGCCATGAGCCTTACGCATGATCCTGATGAACGCGATAACAGGAGACCATTTTTCGCGACGTTTTTTCGTGACTTTAGATCACACTGAGACATCTTCTTGTGAACGCGTTAGCAGGACCGTCCTGCACTAGGGTGCCTCCGGTTAGAGCACAGCGTCTCTGCATTGAAGGTCTACCAAGGAAATCCACGTGGAGTCCTTTCGAGCTAATATGGCTGCTTCTGGCGTGAGGTATTCTACCAAAGTAAAAGTAGACGTGGTGCTTGCAATGGCTGAAATGAATGGCAACGCTTCGTTAGCAATGGAGCTTTACGCGTCTCGCCACCCACACCGTCCCCTTCCAACAAGG